TCAAAAATATGGCTCGACTTTCCTCTGTGGCTGTCTTCTATGGTAAAAGACACCCTGCTACCCATGCTTAACTCTCGATCACCCTCTTCTAAACCGAAAAATCTACGACCGGAAAATCTATTCGTTTCCCTTCTTCCCAGAAGTCTAAAGTCACCCTCTGTCTCTCTCCTTATAGCACTTTCTTTTGACTCTTGGCAAATTTCAGAGGTTGAGGAACTCTCGAGGTTACTGTATTTAAGACCAGAAGTCTGGTTCTTTGGCCTTGAATCTTCCCTCATTTCAGGTTCTTCGTGAATCTCCCCAACATGAAGGGAACCTGAATATGTTCTACCATTTCCTGAGGCAGCATCTGTTTCAGCAAACATTTCTTCTTCAGGGATTCCCTTAACATGGTCCTGCTCATGTGATACTGATAATACAGCTGCATCAAAAGACAAAACAGGATCTTCATGTTGTCTCTGGTTTACCCTCTTATCATCATCATAAATTGGGCTCTTTGGCAGTCTTGATGTTACTTTTGGAGACAAAAGCTTGTTATTTTTCCTGCCAGAAAACCATGATGGTGGCAATGGTGAACCAGTTTTCGGTCTCGTTAGTTGTACAGAATGATCAGAACCAAATGGACTCTGACCCAAGTCAATCCAGTATGAATTGTCTGATGACTCATCCTCACTGAAGATTGGACTCTTCATAACCTCCCCAACTGAAATGCTCTCAGCTTCTTCAAATATGGTGCTTGCCCCATCCCTGTCTGAGTCTTGATCCATCTCTGTCTCAAAGCAATCCCTCACCTGATTGGAAGTGAATACACCTGAAAAGGCAGGCATCAGAGACCCCCCATGTGTTTCAGGCAGTAATTCTTCATTACTGTTGACTGCATCATTTTCAATTCCAGCAAATCCATCAAGACCATCCACAGAATCACTCAGGTATTGAGGAAAAACAGGTAGAATCCTCACAATTCCAGTCCCAGTGCGCCCACCTTGACTTTGCAGACTCCCCATTACAGATTTCTTGATCAAAAGACATCCAAATCCAGTTGGGTCAGAACCGAATACCCTGTAGAATGATGTAATAATGAAATCTGGACGAAAGAGAGACAGCCCAAGTGAATCCATGTCTTTGGGACCCAATGATCCAGCATCAAGCAAAACATGCCAATTGTTCTGCTGAGCAAGTGCCATCCACTGGTAGGAATACTTGGCACCAGTTACTCTTGACTGAACAGGAAATACAAAAAGCCCAGTTGCAGAATCCTTCTTCCTCCTTTTCTTATTTGCAATTTGCTTCTTCAGCTCCCTAGAGCAAAGTTTCAGGGTTGGCCATTTAAACCATGAACTATAAACCTTAGCACCTTTCTCTTTAGCACTCTGAGCCATCCAGTTCACAGACTGGCTCTCATGATCAAACATGGTCAACAACTTCTTATTGGTTTGGAAAGGGTAAGAGTCAGCCAACAATTTAAAAGCAGACCCTCTACTAACAGTAAAAACAAGACCATATTCGTTTTCAGGGATGTTCAAATAATCCATAATCCTAGTCTTGATATCATGCTCAGTACAGCCTTTCTCAGCACCTCCATAAAGAGCATGGTTACTCAAATTTGCAGTTATCTCCGACAAAGTAAACGAAGAAGATTCCCAATATTGTTGAGTTTGGAGAGAGGAAAATAACCCAAAACCGCAGTAATCTAGACATACCTTTGCAAACGATTCTGAGAGGTGACTGTATTCTTCTGCCCTCAAATGATCAATCTTTTCTGAAGATTGGAACTTGGGGTACATTGTGAGGAACTTGTTGAAAGCTTCATGGAGATCAGGAATTGAACCCTCTGTGGAAAAGATTCGGTCCGCCGCGAGTGCTGTGGCTCGCAAAAACTCCTTCTGGGCATGAAGCCTAGCAAGAGACCTTGACCTTCCAAAGCTGCCGTCTTGATTTGGAGTCTCAGAATCAATATCCTGGGATTTTGCAAGAGACCCATCTTCTGATGCCTCTTCAAGAGCCTCCCTGAGCTTGTTTTCTTGCAATTGCCGGAGAACTGAAGACTTTCGCTTGGCGTCCACGGTCAAACCAGAACCATCTCTCCTTCTGGTCTTCTTCTCCATTAACAGAGCAGCACAGTGCGATATAGGCTTCCATACTGAAAGATGCATGAAGGCCTCTCTGTTTTTTTTTCACTCTCTCTCTAACACCAGTCTGACTGCTATGCTACCCAGAAAGTAATGAACCAAGTACGGGTCCGAAAGAAGAACACGGACTCAAGTAAGCAGAATCAGAGAATCAGTTTCAAAGCAAAAGCGGGTCTCCGAGTTTGACAAAGATCGAACGCTGGCTTTTCAAAATCAAATTTTGGGCTTCAGAGATAGAGGCACATTTCAAACTTTGGCTGCTTCGCTGAGGAGCTTTTCCTTTATTACCTAAATCATTCAAACAACAAAGAGATTCTTCCATTAAAACCCAGAACTTTTGTTAGATCTGTAGGTACTGGTCATAAAGAAGAGAAAAGGAAAAGGAAAAACACAAAGGACATCTGGTAAGGAACTCACCTTTAATAATCTAATGTGATCGCGGAGAAAACTCCAACTTTAGCATCCTTCAAGGGCCCATAATTAAGGAGTGATCCATTTCAGCAGAAACCATCCAAATAAACAAAACCCAACATCCCCGAAAAAAAAGATTAAAACCTCAAAACCAGGAACTTGGTCTTATAAACTCAGCATTCCCAAAAGACTCGAAGCCAACAGAAACATATCTCACTAATCCCACAACCCATTACAATTGAATTCTTTAATTTTTGGGACTAAACCCAGTAAAGATTAAGTCTTTCGAGGAAAAATATAAAAACAGAGCAAGCCTACAAACAAAAAATGAAAGGGTAAAGAGAGAATGGTGCCCAGGAATCAAAGACCCAAAAGAATAAAGAAGAGGTCTAAAGCAGAGAAAAGCAAGGCAGCAGAAACAGCTTCAATTCAACAACTCCTCGCCCCACTATCACTGCTCTTCCACCGCCAACCAACCACTCTCTCTCTCAATCTCTCAGCTGGTGGTGATAGAGGTGCAAGATAAAAACAAATCCTTTGCAACCCATCAAATCCTCATTTACTATGGCAGTCAATACAGACATGTCCGCATTGAATGCTTGCTGTTTCTCTTACCTCCCCACATTAAATATCACACCTCCCTCTTTGATTTTCCAGTTTAATTTACCTCCGTTTCCTTCACAGACCCCCTCCCCCACATGTTTAAAGCTCACTCACACGGTCACACCCAACACCAGCTTCAGCGCTCTCTCCACTCAGCGATTTGAAGCTTGTTTGAGAAAAGTTGCGGGCTTTTTGACTTCACGGTACCTTTTTTGTACCCACCGGGCCATAATCATAATATTCCTGCTAAGTGCGATAAGATATTTGTGAAAATAGAGAAACACCACTTATCTTTTTTATCTTTGCAAATCAACCTTGTATCTCATCTCAAACTGGGTACCTAGTTGATAACTGCATTTTTCAAGTATTTAATAGTACCCTTATCACTAGAAATTTAGATGAGACTCCTCGTAATTAGCTTGCAAATTAAATTGAATCACATTGGACCGTCGACAAAACTGAATTGCAAGTCATGCATGCACTGGGCCTGTGCATGTGTGTGCCTGCTTTAGTTAGCTGTCACCATTTGGAAAGGTGGTCAACTTAAATGATATAGTGGCTTTTATAAGATAATAAATATAGAATGATGTGATTTGTTGTAGTCCATAATGAATTTTTTTCTTCCTGGCAGAAAGAAAATTCTTCTTGCAAATATAAATGGTTGATAATCTTCCCAATAAATAATCATGTGGCATGAATAATGACTTTACTCACTGTCACTAGCCACTACTACCTCGACGATGCAGCTTTTGACACAAAACAAAACACAAACCTTAAATAGTAATGCTGGTCCTTACATTGTTTTGTTTTGTTTTTTCTTTCCATCTAAAATATATCATGGTCCTTATATTGTTGGAAATTTCAATGAAAAGGCTATGCACTTATCTGGACATTTTGAGAATATTGACCAATTTGACCTGGAATTTTCAACGAGATAACGCAAAACTGTTCTGACTTTGACTAAGTTTGAAACCATTAATAGATGGAAATCCACATATCGTGGAAGTTTAGGATGCTTGATTTGATAAAGCAACAGACACAACGCAAAACACATGGAAATTAGCGGAATCTAAGGAATGAAAAGAATTTTATGGTTTAATGGTCACTCAAATTTCGGCCTAGTTCTTTTCTTTGAAAGCCAGAGTATTTTCTAATTATTTTATATAATATTATGCCTTGTTTCGTTTCTTGACATGACAAGGAACACTCAACACTCAACACTCAACACATGGACATTGATTTGATAGAGCTGGAGCTGGAGGCAATGAAAACACTAATGTCTGATTACATAATCTCATAACTAACAAAGAGTCAAATACAATAAAGTAAGAATGGCCTACTCCAAATTTATAAAACTTGAGGCACACTGTTTTTGTTTAAATATTATTTTCCAACAGTATATTTGGCTATCCGATATAAGATTGGGTTTCTTTTTCCTCAAACACACAAGATAGTAGGAGAATAATAACACCCCTCTGTGTTCGGAAAATCTTCTATATATTGCTGTTTCTTTCGTTGCTAAGATGCCACGCCATGAGTTACCCCAAACCCCAAGCAAGGAACAGCCACTGCATCTTCTACTTTGATTAAAGTTCCTTTTTTAGTGCTTAGTTGCTTACTAGGAGATAGAAAATCCGAACACAAGACCTCAATTGCAAAGATAACTGATCTCACTTCAACTACAAACCCTCTGTATTTGATGTGCAAATTGGTGCTCCATCCATGCTTGCTAAAATGAAGTCTCGATCTATAAATACAAAATTACGTGACATTTTTTGTTGCTGTATCTCATAATGCAGCACAGCTCGAACCACGATGTTTGATGTCTTGCATGCTTATTCTTGTGGTCCTCAATACTACAACAACATTTCTGGTTCCCGAATAATAATAATTGATGAGTAGACCCCCTTTTGAATTGGGTAGGCATTACTTTCGAGTATTTTTCTTCTTTTTCTTATAGTTGAATGATGCGTCTATTCCATTCAAATTTAGCTTTACCTAAAAGCTCCATATCTCTCCGGTATATAAGTAAACAATTGAGAGGTTTGTGGGGGCTACCACAAATATATATGGTCACGAACATTTTCTCTGAGTTTGGTGAGTTTGGTCGTCAAGTCTCAATATGAGATGACCATGCCAAACGTCAAGTGTTTGTGGGTGGATGTCGTTTCCAAATATAATTAATTTCATGCAAAATGCAATAACCCTAGTTATAGTGTTGCTCAGCGTGGGCCCTTAGCCTAACTCTCGGGCAAAATCACAATCAACTTTTGCTCGTTCCTTCATGGCACCATTATGGACAATAATTTTGAAGTTAGATCTTTGATTGGACATATCACATATTGTTAGATATGTAGTTCTTTCAATTGAGGGGTTCTCCAAATAATTTTATTTGAATGATACTTTTTGGGGTATCTTATGATTTTTTTTAAAAAAAAATTATAACAATTTAAATCATTTATTTTTTAAGTTACATTCATAGATCATTCTTGCAAAAAATTAGACAAATTAGAAAACGTTTCGACATCTAATTGTATCTTACAAAATCAATGAACACGGTGCTTTAAGAAAGTATTAAAATTTCAATAACACAATTGAGTGGTCAAATGATATCGAATTCAAGTGATTTCTTGTAGAGGTTATCTTTGAATGATTATCTAAAATATAAACGGTTTGGATTAATGAAATACAATGCAGAGTGGCCCTAAAAAGATATCTTTTAAATAAGCTAATTTGATGAATTCCTCAATAAAAGCTCTTTGTGTGTGTATATATGATGATGATAATAATAATAATATATAATACAAGGACGAGGACGAGGACGATGAAGATAAAGATTCTTTGAACTTTCTCCACACACTCCACGACCTCTCTAATATTCCAACACCTACAAGTCTTAGAATTGAATTTCTGAAAAATTAAAAATGCGCTGAAATTACCAAAAAATGTATTGTTTTTCCAAATGTTGGTACAACTTTTGCTACCTTTTTTTTGCCTGTAAAGAAACATGAACATCTCTAAATGCATATATTTTGGCTGGAGTTGGGCTCAAATGTTAAATTACATCCAATAAAAGCAGGTGAAAAGCATCCAAGATCCATCCCAAGGTTGCCCAATGCTTAGATTTTGGGCCAGGTACAAATTGTTGCAATACACTACACACCAAGCAATCCCTTCCCCGTCTTAATGCTTGGGCCCAAGACTGATTTTGTGGTACTTTTTTGGACGTCTTCTCTTTTCTTTTTTTTTTTGCCTGTTTTCGGTAAACAAAAAAGTTGAGGGCGAGAGGAGGCTACTCTATTCTAGCATACTTAAATCTCTTTGAGGACTTATAAAGAGGGTTTTAGCTCCTTTCTTAATTTTTAGATATTACCCACTAAGAGGGATTGTCGACAAAGGGACTCGAATCTAGACTTTACTAGCAAAGATAATGCTCCTTACCAACTCAACCAACCCTTGTAGGCACTTTTCTTTTTTCTTTGGGTTCATTGAATTATATTAAATTTATATGCCATCAATTCATTTCCCTTTCAATTATCAATACTATATATATAGTAATATTTTCTTCCTCTTGTTAGATACATAGTATGTTATATTACCAAATAGTCAATCTCTCAACATAGTATGTTAGTGTTCAGAAAATCAGCTAATTAGTTTATCAACGTATTTTTCACAAAACCCGAGACGAATCCCGCAGAGACCCAGCATCACACCCATGTTGGTTTCACTCCTTAAAAAGGTAACCTCATTTTTCAAGAGGAGTAAGGGCACGAGACTTTCTGCCGAAAATTCGGCAGAATCTCCCCTGTAATTTGAACATTTCCCAAAATTTCCACCTGCATAAAACGCATTTAATAACCACAACTGGCAGCACGCATAATGTAATAACATGCAATTCATAATAATGGCCTCCGGCCCTCTAATAATTCAAAGCAAACTACAAACCACGCGATCAATAAAAAACATAACTTCCCCCAAGCATTCAACACGTAAGGTTTTAACCTCATATCACTATCACAAATAGCTCGGGGCCTCAGCCTAAATATACAACACCCCAAATGGGTCTTGCCCCTAATTCAACCACAACACTCTAATACCACCCTCCCGTAGTCAAATGGGAGTATGAACCATTATCTAATCACATCTCGGTTTCATCCGAATTTCAGGACCAAAGACAAGGTCCGAACCAACCTCACTAACACAACCTAAGTGAGGTTTAACTCGTGGCTGCACCTAGGCATCAACCTAGGCTGCCTACGTACCCTCAACTAGGGATCAAGTCACACATAGTTCTTCCATATCAACGGTCACATCTCCGATAATATACAATTAATTAAAGCAGAACCAACAAATACATTTCAAATTTATCACCAATCAATTTCCCACTAAACACAATGAACACATTCCCAAACTCTTCCTTTATATCAAAACAACCTGTAACCATACCCTATCCAAGGCGTATGTTGCCAAACAACACCTCCCAAACCAGGGCGTAAACATTTATACATGTACAAGGTCCTCTCAAAGGACAATCTCACGAATCTCAATCGCGAATCAAAAACCACATATACACATATATGTATATATATATATATAATAACACCCACCTCTCACCATCACCATGTACCAGAGGAAACAATCCAACAGGGGATCGTTTGACTAGTCCACATGGCAGAGCAATCCCTCAATTCACCATGCGTCTAGGGAACGAGCCGTCCAACTGGGGGACTAACTCTCAGCCCAGCACGTACGGCCGAAGAATCAAGACTCGTACGCCTGTAAACAGTCCTACGCGCGCAGACTACCCAGTCAAGGGTCTATGGTAACACCCCGTTAAGGTATGCCCGGGTATCAACACATTCACAGATCCATATCCATTTCCTTGTATCAGTATCCAATGGGAGGTACATGTGATGCTGTACATCATGTACTGGGGGAAACAATCCAACAGGGGATTGTTGACTAGCTCACAATTATCCGGCCCTCAAACGTCCATGTGGCTAGGGAACGAGCCGTCCAACTGGGGGACTAACTCTCAGCCAGCACGTACAGCCGATAAAATCAAAGCTTGTACGTCTGAAAACCAATCCTACACGCGCA